AACTAATCCTTACAACAATTACCGAAAAAAATGACAATTTACTTGATAGTTTACGAAGACATGACGTTTTTTTAGTCATTTCTTATAGTTCCAGTAATATTCCTACAAGATATATTATCAATGAATTAAAATTATTAGAAAACCATATGTGTGTGTGTGTTTACATATGTGCAAGTGCAAGTATGAAAGCGTGCACGTCATGCATGCATGTGAGGCTCAATGAGAAACAAATGCATGTGATTTTAAATTTTTAATAATTGAAAAATTATGAGGCAGCTCATTTTAGTTTTATACCCACATGTAACTACGTACGTATACGCTCATAACTTTGTAAGTAAACGTCGTACATGCGTTTATCGGATTTTATTGGTAATCAGTTATAATACTATTTCTTATCGCTATTTTCTGTATTAAAAGAAAAGTATTATAAATTGTGTCACCAACTGAACTCATCAAATTAAATTATATATCGAATCACGTATATAATTATTCTTCAAGTCTGATAATTTAATATCGAAAATTGTGTAACTTGTTAGATAAGAACTCAACGCCAATGGCTTCCGAATACGAATATTGTAGATCGTATTTGGTGTATTAAACGCTCATAATCTAGTCTTTCTAGAAGATGTAAAAAGGTTTATCAATTATTAATATCTGTGGTCTCAGAGAATTTAATTATTATAAAAAGGAGAATGACAACTTCTTTTTAATTTCCAAGAAAAGAGGGAGTCATGTTTGGCTGGATCTCACCTAAATCCCACATTCCCATACCTTCTTCCTCTTCTTACGCACATGATTCTTTCTTTTGTTATACATTTATATTTGTTCTTCATTATTATTTTAATATATTATGAATTTATGCCTTAAGATATTTGTTTCGCAAATCAATTCTTGTCTTCTTCTTCTTTCTTCTGACGTCGACCAAACATTGTCTAGAGACCAAACATTTCTGTGGGTTAATTTTTTGCTCTGTCTTTAACACCATATTGATATATATGTTATATCAATATTTGGTCGAAAGAAAAATATCAAAGGGTAAAAAATATATATATCCAAAAGTAGCGCAAATTTTCAATTTTTTTCTTATTTAAAGAGAGATCGTTAACACTTATAACGAAATTCATTTTTATCAAATTTATTCTTTATAAAAAAGTTTTAAATTGCTCAATTTTTAAAAGGTCAAAAATACAAAATTTTGTTCTGTCGTCTTTAATACATTTTTTTCCTAAAATCCAACTAATACATCACATTTGGCCCGTTAAATAATTGGTTCGTAAACCGTCTTCAGCTGGCTCGGTATAAATGATTTAAGAGAAAATACTGCATCTTGCTCGAGCTTCTTTTGCAAGACTATCCGCTCGAACATTTGAACTTCTGGGAATATAAAAAAGATTGAAAACCATGAAACTTTCTGAAGTATGCAAAAGACTTCCATCTCTGATAAGAAAGACGGTCAATCCGGTGGCGATTCAAACATGCTTACCAAATCCGAACAATCGGTCTGAAAGTATACAGATAAAATTTTTCTATCTATCAGGCAAGATATATCCCATAAAAGGCTCTCTAATTCGGCATGAAGGACTGATAGGTTTCTACGACAGCCCTGAAGGCCAAACGTCTCACCATCCCTGTCATCCTTTAGACTCCACTCAAGCCCACTAACCAGGCTGTTGCTAGCCCATGATGCATCAACCTGATAGATCGAGAACCTATGGGCATCGGGTAGAGAATTCAGGAACAGGGGGTGGGCGACGTCTCGTCTAGTCTGTACTCTTCTTCTTCTGGTTGGTTTGCGATCTTCCAACTTTCAGCTTCAACCTTGGCGTGGCTCAACGTATCTACCGGAGAAATTTTTTCCCGTTGAAGATCTTGTCGTTCCTCGCTTTCCAAATATATCACAAGATCCAAGGATGGAGATCCTTTTGAGGATCTGTCATGCCTAACTCTTTTGTTTTCCAAAAGAGGAAAAACATATTTTGGTAAATAGAAGTACTTGAAAAGAGATCCGGAAGGGACGGAAAGTCCGATAACGCCCAGATTTGTAAAGCCGGAGGACATAGAAACAAAAAATGGTTAATAGATTCTTCAGGATTCCCACAACGGGGACAACTCATATCCGTTCCCATATGTCTGTAGGTTAGGTTTTGGCAAGTAGCAATACATCCTGTTAAAGCTTGCCACATGAGATGCTTCATTTTTCCAGGCGTCCGAACTTTTCAAACGTAGCTTTGAAGTGCTCTGATACTCGGTTCTCTCACGACAGCCAAATCTTGTTCAAGTTTTGTTGTCTTAATCAGATCATATCCGGATTTAACAGTGTAAATTCCTGATTTGGTATGGTTCCATGCAAACCCATCAAAGTACGATTCCTACTAGGTCTCAATCCAAGGATAAGAGAAACATCCTCAGGTTGGAAAAATTTTCTTAGAAGATGTTCATCCCATTGCTTTGTATCTTGACGGATGAAAAAGTAAACTAACACTCTTGGGTTCTGAAAACCGATCTAAAAGATTATTTTTTTATGTAATACTCTCTCTGTTTCACTAAGAGTGTCGTTCTGACACTTTTTTATGTTTCAAAAAAAATATCGTTTTAGAATTCCAATGTAAATTTTAACATAAAATACTATTTTTAACCTCAAAAATAAATTCAGAAAATTAGTTATAAATATAATTCCAAGAGTTATTTTCTGCAAATTAATAAGGGTATAAGAGACCTTTTATTTTATTTCTTAATTTGCGTGAAGAATGTCAGAACGACACTCTTTGTGAAACGGAGGAAGTATATTTTTTTCATGTAACAATTGCTTTGTTTTTCGTGGAACTATTGCAAATTTAATCGGAAAAAATTTTGAAATTCTATGATTTCAACTATTTATCTTAGTTTATAATATTTTGTATTGTATTTAAGTTTTATTTCTAAATTTTTGAAAAATGGATTTTCTTAGCAGAAGTTTCGGTTTTCCTCGTTAAGATTAATATAAGTATAGTGTTGAAAAAAAAGTTATATAGTAGGCAAAATATAAATTCTATTTCTTAAAAAGGTGAAGTCAATTATAGTTTTTTTTCCTCGAAGTCAATTATAGTTATAATGGTAGATTCGGGCATTCGGCCACCTACCTTCCCGTTCCTAAAACATGTCACATGTCTCCTCCCTTATCTGATTCCTCTTTATCTATTTCTTTACTAAATTATTTATCTATTTTCCATCTCTCCCAATCAATCAGCTGCTTCTTCACATTCTTTTTCGTGTCTCAGCAATGTCTTGTTTAGGTGTTTGCGCCCATAGTATATATTTACAATTTTCTTTGGGCACCGAATTACGCTTACAGTTATAATGTAAAATAGTCGACAATTTGGCATAAAAGGGCCAAGGAATTTAAAATATTTTTTAAATCAAAGATATAAGAAATTTTTGAAATAAAATGATTGTAAAAAGCTCTGAAAGAAAAAAAAGTTACACATAACCAAATAATAATGGTTAGTGGTTGAAAAAAATGGTTAGTGATTCTCACTTGTTAAATAATTATTCTTTCAAATTAATTTTTGTCAAGTATAAGAAATTAACACTCTTATTTAAATAATATTATGTTTTTAGTTATACTATTGGTATAATTCGATGAATAGACTACTCGATAATCACAATTATTTAGAAAATTAGTCAGATGAAAAGAATTTAGACCTTTAATTATAAAATAATAAAATACTAACATAGTGAATTGAGATATTTGTTGTAACTTGCTACTATGGTCCATTGGTCCCCATTGTGAACAAACTCAAAGTTTCTAGAAGCCTTATGCTTTATACAATATCCATCTATATCTAAATGTAAAAATGGATAACGATTTATCCAAAGAGTCCAAAACTATGTTCACCTTTCACATTTCGCTCCTGGTGGTGGTGGATTATGCTTCTATATTTTATAATATTATTTTGGAAAATCAGTTAATTTCATTTCACTCCAGCCGACAGAAAATACTTATATAATTTTCAAAATATAAGATTTGATTGATATAACGGTAAAAAAATTTCATAGTAATTAAAAAAAAAAGAGAAAGAATGGTAAAAAATATATATTAATAGTGTTAGGTTGTACCATATTTTGATGTTTATGTTTCTCTTTAAAAATTTCAGCGGTAGATCTTGTTTGAATCTGGTGGTAGATGTTCTTTTGACGTTATCGTTGAAATTGGTTCCAAAAATTTAGTTTTTAAGTTTTCTGAGTTTTAAACTTTGTAAATTTGATTTTAAGATCAATAATTTATTCCTTTTTTGGGTTTAAATCTCTTCTTCTTATGCTAAGATTAGATATGAATGAAGTTTTATCTTGGTTTTTTCCCTTTTTAAGTAGATCTACAAGTTTATTTGAGGATCTTTGTTCTGCTAGTTATCTTATCTGTTTAGGAGAGGAGTTGCATACAAATATCAATCTGAATTATGGTTAATTTTGATGAGATGTTTTACCATCAGTGATAAATAGATTGTTTGGAGATGGCTTTCACTTTTTTTTGTTGAAGTTTATTAAACAAGGTGTTTTGGTCTTTGTTAATAAAATATGTGATTGATATAGATAAAGAGAAGTGCTATAGTCAGTGGCGAAGTCAAAATTTTTTTTCATTGGAAAATAGCAACATAAATATATGAATAGATATATATGATTTTATGAATGAGAGCGTTAATATGTGATTCTGATAAATTATATCAATTTTTTAAAATTTACTGGGAGCAAATAACCCTAATCTATTACATATAGCTCTGTCACTGGTTATGGTCACAAATGTCTCCAAAAAAGATCGTATCCATCAAAAGAATATGAGGTTTTTTTTTGGTTAATATTGCTTGTGGATTTGTGTAATATTATGGTATTTCTATGTAATAAGTGCATGGAATGCTAATAATTGGATTTTGACTTATTTACATCCGTATAAAATTGTATTTCATCATCATATCAAAAAAATTTAGTGAAAAAAAAATTGTACCGTTTTAATTTTTTTTTTTTTTATATTTTTGATTCAGCGGTAAATCTCTTATCGTAAACAGACAAAAAAAAAAAGAAGAACTAGATCATCGTATTTTGATATTTTGTTAAAGGGGATTTTTGCCGTTTAGCAATTCTTACAACAACGACAAACGCGCCGCCACCACCGCGGTCACCGGATCCCGCCACGGCTTCGAATCTGCCGATAACCCAGCTCTCACTACCCGATCCGACCCAACCCACGAAGTTGACCCGGACCCGAGAGTTAACTCCAGATTCAGCTCTGTGTCTCGTGAATCATCACTGTAGTAACAATCGCCGTTCTGCTGGAGATCCTCATCGGTCGTCGTGCCGCTTGTGGAAGCGCCGTTATCGGAGGAAATTTCCTTCTTAGGTCTAACGGAGAAAGAGTATTCAACGGCGCCGTTTTGGTGAGCGTGTGTTAACGGAGACGGAACCGTTTTGGAATCAGTAACGGCGACGGAATCTTTAACCGGACGATGAGTTTGTGGATCGATTCCATGGCTAAGAAGCTTTCTTTTAATATGAGTGTTCCAATAGTTTTTGATTTCATTATCTGTTCTTCCTGGTAATCTTCCAGCGATCAATGACCATCTGAAAAAAAGAAAATTTCAAATTAGGAATTTAAAAAAGAGCTAGATGATGACCCTGTTTGTATTTTCTCTCTGTTTCTTGGAAAGTTGAAAACCTTAGATAAAAGAAGAAGTTCAATTGAAGATGAATATGTTTTTAGTTTCTCTCTGTGTTTTGGAAGGATGACAACTATTGATAAAAGAAGAAGCTAAACTGAAGATGACCCTGTTTATAATTTTTCTCTGTTTATTGGAAAATTGAAAACTTTAGATAAAAGAAGAAGTTAAATTGAAGATGACCTTGTTTCTATTTTCTCTCTGTTTCTTGGAATTTTGAAAACTTTAGATAAAAGAAGAAGAAAAGAGGAATTTTTTCTTACTTGTTGCCGAGCAAGCTATGGAGTTTGATGATGACTTGGTCTTCTTCATCAGAGAAGTTTCCACGTTTGAGATCAGGACGAAGGTAATTAATCCATCTCAGTCTACAACTTTTACCACATCGCAACAATCCTGCTGATTTGGGAAGAGAACGCCAGCAACCTTCGCCGTGGTTACGGATGTAATCGACGAGACGTTGGTCTTCTTCTTTGGTCCAAGCTCCTTTGTTTGTGTGGGCTTTCTCGCAACAAGGAGACCTTCCCATGGTGAAGAAGATGGTATGTGTGTGTGTGTGTATGGAGAGAAAGAGAAGAAGGACGCAATATGTGAGGAGAGTTTGGGTTAATATAAAAGGTGGTGACTTTTTGACCAAGTTGGTACCCATACATGTGATTATATGAGAGGGAGAGGCTGTGCTTTGCTGTGTTGTGTGTGGGGATTTGGTAGGTAACCTTCTTCCTTTCTTTTCTTTTTTTCTTTTCTTATTTCCCTACTTTTTTTTGTTTTTTGTCGCCTCCCTACTTTTTCTCCTTAGATTTTGCTTTTTGTTTTGTTTATCTTATAATTAGGTGGGAGTTCAGAAAAAATGCAAAAAGCAACGACAACAACAAAAACTGAAATTTGAAATACACCTGAATATATATATTTTTTATTTTTGTACACTTTTTCTAGTTTGTTGTTTTCACACACAAATTATATTTGTTACCATTTATGATGAATATGTTTTATCACGTACAACAAACGAAATTAACTTTTGGAGTTATAGAAAAATATATATATTTGAAGTTTGCTAAATTTTAAATTGGAAATTTTAGGTATATCTCTTCAATGGTAATGCTACCAGTAAACTTTAAAAGAAATATGTTTTGTATTATAGTTTTTGACAATCAATCATATTTCATTAAATTATTAAATTTTATAAATAACTATAAAGCAAATACTATCACAAAAATAATAATTAATAAAATTATATTATATTAAATTTTTAAATATTGATTAAAACGCAAATAACTAAATCATAAATTATGAGTAAAAAATCAAATTATTCAATAAAAATATTTGCAATAAATTATGAGTAAAAATATTTGCTATAAATTATGAGTAAATTATTTGCTATAATATTCATATAATTTGCTATAGTATTTGCTAAAAATTATGAGTAAAAATATTTGCTATAAATTATGAGTAAAATACTTTTCTAAAATATCAAATTTGAAACAATGATAGCCAGCTACACACTATATCCAATCATATGACCACACATGCAAATTAAATTAATGCATTTCTAACTACATGAAGTATATGATATACATAACAATATGTATCAATTAATAAAAATTATGTGATTAACATCATAAACATTTTGAGAATTGACGGAATAGTATACCAGATGAAGGATTCTAACATTATGTAAAAATTCATGTATCAAAAACTACACGACTATATAATAAATAATTTAAAACTACATCATGTATAATTAATGTATCAAGAACTAGACGATGTATAATAAATATATTCAAAACTAAATGAATTGTAACACTAAAATGAATCACAACATAACAATTCAAAAAAGTAAATATTATTATTCCAAAAACATGTAAAACATCACATAATTTTCTAACAAAACATGTAAAATATCACATGATTTTTCCAGAAGACATGTAAAATATCATATAATTTCCAAACAAACATCCATCAAAAGAACCTCTTACTCTGAAAATGATCCTAGAATCACACATGTGTTCCCCAATAACTATCACATATGTTTTTTTCCTAAGAACTAAAGTAACATAATCATCATTCAAAAAACAACCTAAACATTCAATTGCTTATATATTAAAAAAGAGGTTCGGATGTTGCAAAGAAGATAGTAATTGAAGAAGAGAGTGAGCGGACATTATCTGAAGATAAGAGTGAGAAGGCATTATCTGAAGATGACAAATATATTACATGAAAAGAAGAGTGAAATGAATTTTTCTGATGTTGAAGAAAACATTGAAAGGGCAATATCGTTAGCTGAGAATGTTGGTGAAAAAGCAGAAGCTCATAAAGATGAGCATCAATGTCATCTTGCTTGAAGCCAAGAAGGCCAAGGAGGCGAAGGAGGTCAAGGAGGCCTTTGCAGAAGCAACTGATTATCTAGATATTTGGATGATGATTCTGCTACATTATTTCTTAGAAAAAACATGTGTGATAGTGTTTAGGGAACACATGTGCGAATTTATAATTTTCAGGTAAGTGGTTCATTTGATGAATATTTTTTGGAAAACTATGTGATGTTTTACATATTTTTGGAAGAACCATGTGATACAACATGTCTTTTACTTATTGGGCTTTTATTTTGGTTTTGGGGATTTCGTTAATGTTAGTTAGTAGTCCTGAGCATTTGGGTCTGTAGTTTGGGACGGGTTGGGTTTTTCGAGTTTCGGGTCTTCAGGTAAAAAGGAATTAGACCCAAGTTAGACCCAAGAAATATTTGGTTTGGTTTGATTCGGTTTGGGTCCTTTCGGGTTCGGATCGGTTCTGAGAATTCTAAACAAAACCGAATAGAAAGCAAATTTATTTTCGGATTGGTTTAGAACCAAACCCCGAATTGATACATAATACTAAATGTTCGATGTTAGCAAAAAAAACTAAATGTTCTCGAACACAAACTTCAATTCAAGCTATTTACTTGTTTAGTGAACAACATAACCATCTTCAAACTTTGAACTTCAAAACAAGAGAAGATGGACCAAAAAAAGTTTCAAAAGATATCACCAAGAAAACATAACCAAAACATTTAGATGTAATGTACTCAAAATCCAAAAGATTCACAAACTAAGACGGCAACTCCCTGATGTGCACCCTTTTTGAAGAATGATATTTCAATGCCTGCATCAGAAGAATGGAGGCATTCATTAAAAAAAAGCTTCGTTACAACTCAAAACACAAGCAATATCATTAACATGATTCACATTGCTAAATGCCTCGACTTTGGTATTAGTAACTGAAAGCAGAACAAGAACAATAAAAACACAAACGTGTACATCATAGTATCCTACTCTGTAATATGTGTTGTTGGTGGTACGCTCCGCTCCTCGGTTCGGACCGGTTAAAGACCGAGACCGGCCCAATTGATCCCGGTTTACGAAGGTCTTAGCCAAAATGGGCCTGGCCTGGCGACGCGGCCCATGAGAAAGAAGCCCAGCAACGAGAGGCGGTGAGAGCCGAACGAGAAGCCCTAGGACGTCTCTTCGTTCTTGTACTATAAATAGTAGAATTGTTACTGTAGAAGGGATCTTTTTCGGACCCGGAGAGTAGAGACCTGAATATTGTATTGAGTTCGTCGAGAGACCTCCGAACTGAACAAACTGTAATTGAGAACATAATAAAATCTAATCAACTTAATATCTTTCGAACTCAAATTACCGGACCGACCTCAAATAGTTGAATACAGTAATCAACAATTGGCGCCCACCGTAGGGCCGGTTTGGTAATCGGCCAGGACGACATGACAAATGATGATAGACAACCGACCTCAGTCCAGGTCGGGAGTCAGATGACCTGTGCAGATGAGACCACCCAGGTCGGAGGACCTGCGAGCCAGGTCGGAGGGCCTATAGAGGAACGCGAGCGCAGCCCCGCACAATCCCAACCGGAAGCGCAACAAATCAGGGCGGAGCCGAGCTCAAGCGCCGGGGCTCACCAAACCTCACCAAACCGAACTCAAGCTGCCTTCGATCCAACTGCGCTTATGAACGCCTTCGCCGCGCAGATGCAAGAGTTGGTCAGAAGCAACGACGCGAAGTTCGCAACCCTCACCGCACAGATCTCCAACCTACAGCAAGAGAGTCCGATTAGAAGACGGAACCTCATTAGTGATTTCCAAGAAGAGCGAGATCCGCAGTGCACAGTGGCGCGGTCAGTAGTTCAGCAGCACCAGCGGACAGAGAGCCCATCTCAGCACGTGCGAGCTCAACCGACAGCGCGCGACCTGGAGATCGAGCGGATGCAGGCTCAACTGCGAGAGATCAGTTCAAAGTTTCACCAAGCCACCAGCTCGGCACCCGAAATCGACCGCGTAATCCAGGAGGCACAGAAAACACCGTTCACTTCCCGGATCACCAACATCCCCGTCCCAAACTTAGAAAAGTTTAAGCTACGATCGTACGAGGGGAACTCCGATCCGAGGCATTTCCTTACCCCATTCGGAATCGTAATTAACCGACTGAAGTTCACCTCGGCCGAACAGAAGGACGCAGTTCAATGCCAGTTGTTCGTCGAACACCTCGAAGGCATAGCTCTAGATTGGTTTTCAAGATTGGAAGCCGACTCCATCGACAACTACAAGGAACTCTCGACTAAGTTCGCAAAACATTTCTCGATGTTTATCGGGCAGAAAACTCGTAACTCCGAGCTGTGGGAGATATCACAGGGTGAGAATGAGTCGCTCCGAGATTTCATGGCACGTTTCAAACAGATCGTAGCACACTGTACGGTGGACGATGGAGCCGCTCTCGAAGCTCTGTATCAGAAAACATGGTACAAATCCCCCTTTCACAAAGAGCTTCGCAGGAACAGACCGCTCACCCTCGAGGACGCGCTTCATAAGTCAAACATCTTCATCGCGGAAGAAGAAGAAGAAGCCGCCAAGGATCGACAGTATTCAACGACTAAGCCAGGACAAACGCCAACCCCCAAAGAGAGCTCGGAAACAAAGGTCCAGCCCGGGAAATCACGCGGAGTAGTGAACCAGGCAGGACCGTCGAACCAAAGGACATGACGACCTCCAAAATCTTGGAACACGTGGCACAAGGACGACGACACGCCGCTGAGTGAACGTTTTTGCGAGTATCACGAGTGATATGGGCATATCACAGAGGAATGCCGACATTTGAGGGACTTCTTACTTCAACAGTTCCGCAAGGGCGAGATCGTCACCGCAGATTTGCCCAAACCAGGACCTCGGCGGCCAAACATGCGACCAAACAAACCTGGCAATCAAGAAGCCGCTAAGGCAGCCCACTCCGATGAAGAGCCGGTTGCTCCCCCTAAACGAGATCGCGAAGCACCTAATAGAGAGGCGAACGTCCCCAAAACCAGGAAGAAGGTCAATATGATTATGGGAGCCCTCGAATCATGCAACTACTCCGTCCGAGCCCTCAAAGAATATAGCCGGCTGGCATCGAGTTCGCAGCCCCAAACGACGGTAACAATCGTGCCGCTGTTGTTTACTAAAGCCGACCTGCGGGGAGTGCACATGCCTCACAATGATTGCCTCGTCGTCGAACTCCAGCTCGGAGATGTCGAAGTAAGCAGAATATTAATCGACACAGGGAGCTCGGTAAACGTCATATTCAAAGAAACATTAAAGAATATGGATTTTCCGGACTCCGAGATCAAGCCTTACATGGAATCATTGACCGGGTTCACCGGAGAGAAAACAAGAACAGTAGGAACAGTGAAGATACCCATCTATGTCGGCGGGTCGGCCCGGATGATCAAGTTTTTGGTCCTCAACAAACCGGCGATATATAATGCAATTTTGGGAACGCCTTGGCTATTCGACATGAAGGCCGTCGCTTCAACGTTCCATCAGTGCGTCAAATTCCCGACCCCGTCAGGGATTTTCACCCTCAAAGGAAGCCAGACCGCGTCCCGATTATGCCATCTCACCGAATGCAAACTAAGTCTCGCACGGACGTGCGTCATAAGCCCCTTTCAGGAAGGTCGTGCGGCCGCAGAAAGCCAGTTCGGTCCACCCAAACAGAGCCAAGTTGACCAAGTCTGCATCGATCCGACAAATCCAGAAAAGTGTGTCGGCATAGGGGCCGAGCTCGACAACAGTATCCGGGAAGCACTCATCAGTTTCCTCCAGAAGAACGTCTCCACATTCGCATGGAATATCAGCGACATGCCCGGAATCAATCCCGACATCACTTGCCACGAGCTAAACATCGACCCCACATACAAACCTATCAAACAGAAGAGACGCAAGCTCGGACCCGAGAAAGCGCGAGCAGTAAACGATGAGGTCGAAAAATTGCTCAAAGCCGGTTCGATCACGGAGGTTCGATACCCGGACTGGCTAGCAAACCCGGTAGTCGTGAAGAAAAAGAATGGAAAGTGGAGGATCTGCGTCGACTTTACCGACCTGAACAAAGCTTGTCCCAAAGATAGCTTCCCACTACCACACATTGATCGGTTGGTAGAGGCAACTGCTGGCAACGAACTGTTATCCTTCATGGATGCCTTCTCGGGGTATAACCAAATCCTGATGCATCCGGATGATCGGGAAAAGACTTCGTTCATTACCGATCGAGGAATCTACTGCTATAAGGTCATGCCGTTCGGCCTCAAGAATGCGGGAGCCACCTATCAAAGACTCGTGAATCGCATGTTCACCAGTCAGCTCGGGAAAACGATGGAAGTATATATTGACGACATCCTGGTTAAATCCCTGTACGCTGAGGACCATATATCGCATTTGTCAACGTGTTTCGACATTCTGAACGAGTACGGGATGAAACTCAATCCCGCCAAGTGCACCTTCGGCGTAACAGCAGGCGAATTCCTGGGTTACATCGTCACTGAGTGCGGCATCGAAGCTAACCCTAAGCAAATATCTGCAGTTCTCGACCTACATTCTCCGACTTCTAAACGAGAAGTGCAAAAACTCACAGGCTGAATCGCCGCACTGAATAGGTTTATCTCCAGGTCGACGGATAAGTGCCTGCCTTTCTATCAGTTGTTGCGAGGTAATAAGCATCATACTTGGAACGCCGAGTGCAAAGACGCCTTCAAGCAGCTGAAAACGTATCTCTCGACTCCCCCCATCCTAGCTAAACCCGAGAACGGCGAGATGCTATTCTTATACATCGCAATTTCCGCATCGGCAGTCAGCAATGTCCTGGTCCGCGAAGACAGGGGGGAACAGCGTCCCATATTCTATGTCAGCAAATCGCTAAGTGACGCCGAGGCCAGATACCCGACCTTGGAAAAACTGGCGCTTGCGGTGGTGACTTCTGCTCGGAAGATTCGGCCATATTTCCAGTCTCATTCGATCACAGTCTTGACCGACCAGCCGCTCCGAACCATTTTTCACAGTCCAAGCCAGTCGGGTCGACTCGCAAAATGGGCCGTCGAACTAAGCGAGTACGATATAGAATACAAGAATCGAACCAGCGCGAAGTCCTAAGTACTAGCCGATTTTCTGATCGAACTCCCTAAAGAATTCGTCGTCGAACTGCCGCCTCGCGAGGTATGGATTTTGCATGTCGACGGATCGTCATCCCACCGGGGATCAGGAGTCGGAATCCGCCTGAAGTCCCCAAACGGCGAGATCCTCGAACAGTCGTTCCGCCTCGAGTTCCCAGCGTCCAACAATGAGGCCGAGTACGAAGCTCTACTTGCCGGACTGCGATTGGCCACAGAGCTCGGCGTGCGACATCTTCACGCCTTCTGCGAGTCGCAGCTTGTCGCAAGTCAACTAAGTGGAGAATACACGACCAAGAACGAACGAATGGATGCGTACGTAACAACGACTAAGGCTCTCATCTCTAAATTTGAGACATTCGAGCTCACGAAAATCCCTCGCGGCGAGAACTCATCTGCTGAGGCGTTAGCCGCCCTGGCATCCAGTTCCGACCCGTATATGAAGATAAGGATCCCGATCGAAAGTATCTCAGAGCCCAGTATCAAAACCGCGCTGGAATGCAATGTTGCTACTCGCCGACAGAACTTCGACGAAAATCCGATCTCGGTAAGTACACAAAACAGGAACTCGACCCGGACGAACGAGAATGCCGAGCAGGAACTTAAGGAAAATGCCGAGCAGGCTCCAGAAGACCTAGCCGCCGATCATGACTTCGAGCACATAACCGAAGGAATCCACAGTCCGTCAACTAGCGAAAACCAGGAAACCAAATCCGCCGAAGATTGGACAGTCGAACTGCGAGAATACCTCCTCAACGGCAAAGTCCCTAACGACAAATGGGCTGCTCGCCGTCTTAAAGTCCGGGCTGCCCATTACACAATGCACAATGATAAGCTATTCCATTGGAGTGCATCTGGAGTACTCCTGGCCTGCGTTTCCGGGAATGATACAGTTGAAATCATGCGCGAAATCCACGAAGGGTCCGGCGGCAATCACTCCAGAGGTCGATCTCTTGCTCTGAAAATCAAAAAAGCCAGCTATTTCTAGCCGACGATGAACGCGGACAGCGAAAAGTTTGTCATGAAATGCGATAAGTGCCAACGCCACGGTCCAATGATTAACGTACCAACCGAGCTGCTGCAAACCAGTACGGCCCCTTACCCGTTTATGCGGTGGGCTATGGACATCGTTGGCCCTTTATGCCGATTAACAAGTCAAAAGCAGTATATCTTGATTATGACCGACTACTTCACAAAATGGGTCGAGGCCGAAGCATATTCGGAGATTACCGCACTGAACGTACAAAAAATTGTCTGGAAGTATATCATTTGTCGACACGGGGTCCCCACGAGATCGTCACGGACAACGGACCACAATTTATTGCAGGGACATTCAATGAGTGGTGCGCAAAGTTCAAAATTCGCCTTAGTTTCTCTACCCCGCGATATCCGCAAGGCAATGGCCAGGCCGAGGCAACCAACAAGACAATCCTGGACGGCATAAAGAAACGTCTCGAGGCTAAGAAAGGTACCTGGGCAGACGAGCTCGACGGAGTCTTATGGTCGCACCGAACTACTCCCAGACGATCGACCGGACAGTCACCTTTTTCCTTAGCGTACGGACTCGAAGCCCTCTGCCCGGCAGAAGTGAGTATTCCAACCTTACGGTACTCAGTGCTCCCCGAAGATCCCGATCTCAACGACCAGATGATGCTCAACAACCTTGATAACTTGGAAGAGTAACGCTGTTTAGCTCTCCTCCGAATTCAGAACTATCAAAACCTCGCTGCTCGGTACTACAACAAGAAAGTTCGAGGTCGGCACTTCGATGAAGGCGACCTCGTCTTACGCAAAGTGTTCCAGAACACTGAGGAGCTGAATGCAGGCAAACTGGGAACGAACTGGGAATGTCCATATCAGATAATGAGAATCGTCAAGCCTGGAACGCCGATCCCGCGATCCTGGAACTCAGCCAATCTCAAACGATTTTATTATTAAAGTCCCAGCCAACAAGCGCGCGGACCCAAAAAAAAAAAAACCAGTCCGGCTCCGGCCGAACTCACCCCTGTAAACTGAACTACGAGTGGCTTGATCCCTTGCAAAAGGGTACGTAGGCAGCTCGATTTCGAGTTCAGCTACAAATCCAATAAAAATCCATCTTTTTCATTTCTATCACTAACTCCACATATCAACTCCCGGCCAGGAGATCGAACTAAGTATTCCCCACGAATACAATCTTAAAAGCCGAGATCTCGCCCGCACCCCCATGGTGCCCACTATTCAAAGCTGGAGCCCAACCCGCACTCACTCTTTCGAACAACAATCCGCCAACCGCGATTCAAGTTCGAAGAGTTTCCCGAGTTCGTCCGCATCGTCACAATAACATCATGAACTCCAAACTTAATCAAAACAAGCCAAACTCTCAACAGTTCGCAATAAAATAAGGGAAAAAGGTTCTAAGTAACAATCGCGATAAAATAAACCATGTTCATTTTATTAATACCCAAAATTGCCGAACTAGACGGAAATAAATACAACACCTAAAATCGGCGACTAAAGCAAAATCAATAAGTTAAAACCTGAGCTACGCGGGCAAGACAGTCTTTACAACAAACACCAAAATAAAAAATAAGGAAAACTAAGAGAATCATTGGCGAGCGACGGACGCCGGACTCTTGAGACTCGCTGCCCGATCAGCCAAGATGGATTTGGAGTTCGAGCCAAACTGGTCCAAACCATCCGGAACGTGCGTTCCTGGCGGAAGCACGATCCTTGGGATGAGGTCGTCATCACTCGGAAGCAGGAAGTCCTCATTTGCGAGCCGCGGGAGAGGGACATCATCGACCTCCTTCGTGCAGTTCTTAACCCTCCGCCCGTACATCTCCACGATGTGAGGCGGGACGATCATATTGTGCTCCCTCCTGAGGAAGTCGCAGAAACCGACCAGAGCAGTCGCCTGGTTAAGCTTGAGGAACGGCGCCTTTCTGAGCTTGGACTTGTCCATGAAGTCCTTCATCTTGGCAAGCTTCCCCTCGCACTTGCCCCTAAGGGCGGCCAGCATCTTCCTGCCCTTGGACTCGGCGTCTCGGTACTTCCGCTTCTCGAGCTCGCTTGTCTTGAACGACTTGGACAAGGCGTCCACATCCCCCTCCAGCTCGACAGTCCGCTTCATCAGGGCCTCGACTTGCTCCTTCAAAGCCGCGTTCTCCTTCTCCTTTTCGGTAAAGGCCAGCACAGCAGCCTCGTACCTTTCCTTTTCGTCCTGATACGACGTTTCCAGAGACACCCTCTGGCAGCAACCTCAGCGTTGATCCTCCTCAGCCTCTCGACCTCGGAGTCGTACTCGCGAACGAGCTCGTTGGTATCACAGACGAGCTGAAAATAGAGCCCAAGTCAAAACATTTCAAAACTAAAAAAGCTTAAGTATTCAAGACAGAGGGAAACTTACAGCGGAGGCAGATTTCGCGACCCGAGCGTAAGACTTGGGGCGGAAAAGTTCTTTGGTCTCTGGCATTGGAGACGAGGCCGGCACGATCTGCCTGAAGAGCTCGGCACAGGCGGACGAGTCGTCGAAGAAGGACCGGTCCTTGTTGTACTTGAGCCGGACTGAGAATGAGGACGAGTCAGAGGTCCGACGCCTCTTGGATGACCTCGGGTTCTCGGTCTCGGCAGCCGGATCCGCTGGAGGAACCTGAGAAGCGTTAGAAGATTCGTGAAGGACCAAAGTCCCTTCACTCGCGGCCGTCTCGGGCTCATCACCCTTTTTCCGAGATGATTTCTTCAGAGCCTTGCCCTTCTTCCTACGGGCGCGGTCGGCAATGGTGAGCTCGTCCTCATCCTGCTCACCAATTTCCCCCTCCTCTATTTGAGTCTGAGGAGTCGCCTCGGGAACACTAGTTCCCGCCGCATCGCCCTCCGGCTCCGCAACCGGGATCGGAGGGTCAACTGGGCCAACCGGGATGTTATCGACCCCGTCCCCGACAGCAGCTTCGACGCCGTCACCAGCCTCGTTCCCATCGAGACCGACGATGTCGATTGGGGCATTGTCGTCTTCCTCGTCAGCCCCAAAGTTCATGATTGGGATATCCGACCTGTCGAACGCCATCCTCCGACTCCTCTTGTTGCTTTTCCTCGATTTCTTATTCTTCGCGACCGGTCTCGATGAACTGGGTTCCTTCTTATTTTTAGCTACCAAAAAGGACAAGCGTCAGCCATAGTCTAAATGATAGCAAATTCAAGACGATCCGAGAACTCATACCTTTGTCTTGAGCCCTCTTTATCCGGCGGTCAATCTTCTCCCGATACGCTAGTGGCCAACGGCGCTGACCAGCGAGACTAAGCTGCTTCGCTAGGTCGGACGTAAGAGAGCGTTGGATAAACCTCGGAATGTGACGATCTGCACATAGGAAGAGAAATCAGTTAGAATCAGTCAGGAAACAAAGAGATGAACCGTGAGATATGTACCAAAGTCAACACTCCAGCCAGTCCGGAACGTGCTCTCCGGATTCTCAGCAGAAATTGAGTCGACGCGAAGAAAAAAGTAGTTCTTGTCCCAGTCCGTAAACTTGCTGGCCTTGTTCCCGGTGACCAAATCGAATTTCGGATTGCAATTCACCGACATGAACCAGCTTTTGGCCGACGAGACTTTCATTATGAAGAGCTCCTCGAACTGTGCCACATTGATTCGAGTGCGGATATCGCGCCCGAGTTGGAGAATCCCAACGAAGTTTACAATCGACGCCGGCTGAAGTTGGGCTATCGCGCAGCCATGCCGGTTGCAGTACGCGAACAGAAGGCGAGGCAAGGGGAAAGTTAACCCGGCCTCGCGGAAATAAGCCTCGTAGACGCAAATAAAATCTTCAGGAGCGTCCCAGGGACGCTCCTCCGGTTCGGGGACCTGGATTATGATTCCGGGAGGGGCTCCACCAACCAGCATAGCAGCCCGGACTGTTTCGGGGGTTGATAAAGTAGACTTCACCGGAGCACAGATACACGGCCGATCCACGATCGGCATCATGTCGTCATCGTTGGGATCCTGCACTCCTCCATCCCCGACCTCGCGCAGTGGAGCGTCTTCATCTGTCTTCACATCAGGCTCCCGTCCCAAGACCAAATCAGCAGGAACTTGGCCCTCGGGCTCGCGGAGATTTTGGTCCATCCGTTCCGGAGCCCGAATGGGAACTCGGCTACCAGAGCCGACCTCGACGACCCGGGAGTTCTTACGAACCAAAGAAGCATTTGAGGAATGCTCCGTAGATCCCGAACTCGAGATCTCGGTAGAAGTTTCCTCCCTGCGGTGTTCGGGAAGAATCGCAGCCTCGGAATTGGAAGAAGAGTCGGAAGACATCGTCGGAGAACTCGAGAAAGCGATCGTCGACGAGAGAGCACGGCGGACGGCAACCAGAATCCTAGAGAGAGAAAGAAGAAAACTTAGAGAGAAGGGAGAGCAAAATACCTTGGCAGAAGAAGCGAAAATGAGAAATGGGGAGAGCTGGGCTCTATTTTTAGGGAAAAAGCGAATCATTGCGACTTCTCGAGTTCCGCGCTTCGTAACGTCTCTATTTCCCGCCTGAACCAACGCGTCTTTTCGGTTCCCCACAAGCAAAAATACTAAAATACCCTCGCGAAGACATCAAGGGGATAAAAAAGGCGTAAGTCAGGAAACCAACGTCGCCGACCTCGATCATTAACCGATCCTGCTCCAATTCGGCAAAAGTCAGTCAGGTTCGTTTACCGAACTGGGGAGGGGGACATACTGTTGGTGGTACGCTCCGCTCCCCGGTTTGGATCGGTTAAAGACCGAGACCGGCCCAATTGATCCCGGTTTACGAAGGTCTTAGCCAAAATGGGCCTGGCCTGGCGACGCGGCCCATGAGAAAGAAGCCCAGCAACGAGAGGCGGTGAGAGCCGAACGAGAAGCCCTAGGACGTCTCCTCGTTCTTGTACTATAAATAGTAGAATTGTTACTGTAGAAAGGATCTTTTTCGGACCCGGAGAGTAGAGACCTGAATATTGTATTGAGTTTGTCGAGAGACCTCCGAACTGAACGAACTGTAATTGAGAACATAATAAAATCTAATCAACTTAATCTCTTTCGAACTCAAATTACCGGACCGACCTCGAATAGTTGAATACAGTAATCAACATGTGTTCAAGAATCAAGAACCAGGTTTTGAAAGAATAGAATAGTACCTTTTAGATGATTTTTTTTTTTTGGTTCAAACACTTGATTTCATTACTTAACCTTTCGGATTACATGAAAAGAAACGAACTCTTAGGCTAATACAATAAAACTTGAAATTGACAAAGATTAACACAAAGTAATTTCCATGATAGAATGACAGCGAATGCACAATTGGATGCGTCGATAGCATATTACCGGCAAAGCTGGAAGGCTGAGAAATAGTCACTTTAACTTGTGACATTGAAAAACCGCTTATACCGTCGTATCTCATCGAAACGAATCCTGTTGCATCTTCTGGCTCCATACAGACCGCTACACAAGATGATAGACCAGATAGTGAATTTGAAAGTTTCTTCAGTTTTAAGACTAGGAAAGAAACACCTCCCAACAAGAGGTACGGTGAAGATAAGATTCTCTCCTCGAAATAGGAGAGGGGCGAAAACGATCTCTCCCATCAGGAGGAAATTGATCTCTCCATTGTGACAGAGGAAGGTGCAAGACAGTTACATACCTGAGCTGTATTTAGCAATCAACGGAGTTGATGTACTGTTTATTGGGTTTTTCTCTAAAAGAAAACCCATTAAGAAAGATAGAACTGCTGGATTGCTAAATGGGCATTTCCACAAGGGAAAACCCAATAACGAGGATGAATGGCCCAGGCCAATTTGAGGAACTCATCGAGACTTTTCCCTGTAGAGGACTCGCCGGAGAAACTTGTCACGTGTATGATGAAGCTGAAGACAACCATTGGAGGAGGAGCTTGGTCATCTGAAACTTCGTCATAGATGAAGCTTTTGATGGTAAAGATGAAGATGGACCCGGCGATGTTAGAAACCAGTAGAGAAGGTTGGGTGACGGCGGGGGACATGGATAACTAACCCACTCTAATTGTATATACCTTCAAACCTTTAACAAAATATATATTGATTAAATGACGGCTGTTATAGGCTCCTTGTCACACGTTTATCTTTAATTACTCCTTTAACACTGTCACCAAATATGATATTTCTTTTGGATATTTGCTTGAATTCAGATAAGTAATCTATTTTCTTTATTACATGCCTTGAATATCCGCTGTGAAAGTACCTTGCAGATCCTTGTTCTTCTGTGGCAACTCAAACATTTGAAATTTCACTTCCACTTTCTCTATTAGAAAGATCGACTTAATCTAACTTTTTCTCATCTTCAGAGTCAGTCTCTGACAGTATATCCATAACATTGCAAGAAGGTTTTCATCAGTATCAAACTCATCACAATCTCTGCTAGTTATGAATGCATCATTACATCTGAATCATTTCATGTCTTGGAGGGTATGATCTTCCATACCTGGTTCATCCTGTTATTCTTGGTAAACTTCCTTTGACTCCAAAGATTATTAATCCTTTCGAGGAATTTGAAACACTGAGCTTTGATTTGTCAATATACTTACCACATAAAAAGCACCATGACCTCTTGTTTTGTTGATGTGTATGCATCTGTCTGGTGTTTCTTTCATAGTTTTGTTCTCCAAGGTTAATTCTCTTTCTGCATTGTGGCATCTGTAACTTATATTTTCTTCCATCTTGATAGTTTCCTCCACTGATAAACATTGTTTCATCTTGGTTAGAATATTCTTGATATCCTAAGCTTTCACAGCTTTTTTTTTGTTCTTTCCCATAGTTAACTCTTGCCAAGCTGCTTTGTGCTAGAGTTCAACATTCGAATTTGTCTAAGCTTCTCATCCTGATCAGTGTGTAGTTTATAAACCTTATTATTTATTTGTTAATAGCAGCTCCCAACCTTTGATCCTCAGCCTTGAGACTGGATTTTTTTTTTTGGGATTAATCCACATTTTAAAAAGACTCGTTGTAGAGTTTCCCATGCCACCTTAGAAGATTTACAACTCTGGATTAACTCAAATTGCTTCACTTCCACTTATTTAAAAATCTCACGTATAGCTTTTGAGTTCCACTTTTCAAGAGTCTTGTCTTCCTCAGTCCATTCTGCTTTTGGTTTTGGAACAATCTTCCCATCTTTATCCTACGTAGTTGGTGGTTTCCAACCTTTATCCACAGCAGTCGAGGCATCTTCATCGCTATTCTTGATAATCAGTATCGTTTTTTACTTCCACCAACCATAAATTGCTTTGTACAGAACAGTACTCTGTTTCACGAGCACAACTTCTCTAGAGTTCTCCATCTTTTCTGCAGGATCTCATCTGAATATACGCACTTGTGACTTCTCGGATACCAATTGTAAAAGCAAAAACTATAGAGATTTGATGCCATATGTTCAGACAATTTTTTTTCAAAACAATTCCACTAGATTATTTTTATAATAGTATCTTACAAGTCTACCAAATTACAAGAACTTACAAGTATATCTCTGAAAATCTAACTATCCTTATGCTTTCCCAAGACAAGAAATGATTGCAAGCTTAAATCAAATATCTCTCAAACATACTCTCCCAACATCCTTTTGTCTTCAAAACTTTAAACCTTTTCTCGCACAAAGCTACTAAAATACTAAAACACCGATCTTTTCCTAAGTCAAACTATAATCAATTTCCTTTTCTTTTAAGTATTTTTGCTTTCTTTGTTACTTTCCTTTTTTCCTGAATATCTTCAAATAATGATTCGTAAACTCTGGTTTTGATTTATTCAGCTTGTTTACAACCTACCACGTTCCTCCTTTAGTCAGCTGTCTTTGAACTTGTAAACTCCTGTGTTGCATCCCGTGATTTCTACATCTTCATTTTGATCTTCCAAATATTGGACCTAGAGTGTTTGTTGGAGAGGATTCAATATCTCCAGAAGGCGATATCAACTGCGATAAGTGTATGTACCTTGCTTTTAAGGCCATCTCCAACCCTACCCTATTTTTCTCTTAAAATACTATTTTGGAGGAAATTCTTCTCAAACCCTACTCTATTTTCACTTGCAAAATGGAGAAATGTCATTCTTTCCTCCAAATATGGAGTAACCCATTTTCAACTCCATTTTGCAATGAATTTTTTTATTTACAAGATAATCTTTTATTTTCCATTAATTCTTAAAATTATATTTTTTATTTATAATTTAATCTTTTTATATTATATATTTAATTTAAAATTAAAGATAAATAGATTTAAAATTTGAGAATATAATATAAAATATATAAAAAGATTAACTGAAACTAGAAATAACATAAAATTAAAAATACATAAGAAATACATAAAATTAAAATGTATTTTGTTTTATTATTTTAAATGGTGTATAGTATTATTTTTATATTATAATAATTGAATTTAAAATAATATTATAATTTATGGAAGTTTTAACTGAAAAAAATAAAAAGATTTATTTGTAGTTTTTATAAATAAAATGCATTATTAGTAATTAACAATAAAGTAAAAAATGAAAAATATACTTAGAATATTTTCTTTGGAGTTGAAAATAGAAGAATACATTAGAGAGAAATCCAACTCCATTTTGCGGTTCTTCCATTTTGGAGATAAAAATGGAGAAATACATTGGAGATGCTCTAAAAAACCCAAATCAGAATATCATTGAGTCTTGGGGAAATCTGTGAAAAAATCGTTTGTATTAAAGGTAAGTAGATGCAACATCTGTGAAATCTGTGAAAAAAATCCTAAACAAACAATATATGGCACATCATCTAAATGCAACATCTAGATGTTGAACTAGATGCAGCATCTAAATAAAAAAACGAACAAAACCTTAATATTTAACTTTGTGAGATTCAACGTGAAGACTCTGTTCCAAAAAAGAAAATCTGTACTATTAAGAAAGAAGGGTGTTTTGTGTCCAAACAGAATTTTTATTTGGTTTCCTACTAATCTGTTTTTGGATAATTGTTGCTAAACAAAAATATTGATTTTAATTTAGATTTATCAAACAAGTTAATTTAGTATAACATTAATAAAATAATATATTTTTATTTATATTTTAATATAAATTCGAAAATTTATTTTTTAATTTAGATTTGTTATAGATTTCCTTAAGGGGGTGTTATTCAATCATGAATTTAAAATGAATTTTCTATGTTATATAATTTTCTAGATTTAAAAATTGATATCAGTTTGATGGATTCATTTGTTTAGATTCTAAAGTCTCTGCAATATACACTGGATTTTTATTCTAATAATTTACTCATAAAACTCTATTAGAATTGATTTGAAATGACTAAATGTACAAAGATTTTAAAAATTATTTAGTTTTGAATAACACTGGATTTTAATGAAAGATTTGAAATCTTTATTGATTAACACCAAACTTTAAAACCTCTTAAATATGATTTAGAATTAAAAGAACCAATAACGCTTGATTTTAAAACATTATTTAGAATCATTAGTTGAATAATAGTGGATTGTGGTTGGATTTAAATTCTATTAAAAACCATGATTGAATAACACCCCCTAAATGTAGGTTATGTTATCAAAAATTAGAAAATAAGTTATTATTATATCTTTACAAAAATAATAATCCAAATATTAGTTTAGATTTAATTTAAATATTCAATGACAAAGATGAAAATGATATATTATTATATATTTTTATTAAATAAGTTTAAAATTTAAATATTTAAACTTAATAAATATTTAAAATATACAAATAATATGAATAAATATGTTAAATATTTTAATAATCTCAGTTTTTTTGGATTAAAATAAATGAACATGTTATAATGACATTTTTTTATTTGTGATACTTTTAAAATAATATGAACGGATGGACGAGTTAGAATAATGTTTTTCTAATCGCGGTCATATATAATACTAGAAAAAATAAATCAATAGAAACAAATTATATTTAAACAAATTTTTTATTTTTTACTATAAAATTATATATAAACAAAAACGAAAGAAAAAATTATACTATAGATAAAAAGAAGTTTTTGTGCGGACGCACGGGATAGAATCTAATAAATACTTTACAAATAATAGTAAATATGTCTAAAGATCCAAATGATGATAGAAATGCAAATATACATAATTATTTGAATCCACGCAACGTGAGCCTCAACGGAAAAAAAATTCCCTGGAAGACACCTTGATCCACACAAAGGTGAAAGCAGAAAATTAGAGATCAGCAAACCAACCTGAAGATGACGGACATATTAGCGGCCTTGGTTGGAGTTTTAAGGATGGCAGAGGGAATGAGATTTTTGGACTACAAGGATGTCGTAGAAGCCTCTCAGCTCTTTACGCTGAGATGGATTGCCTCTTATGGGCTATGTCATGTCTGAAAGAAAGACAAATGATTTTGGTGCATTTTCAGACCGACTGTTCGAACTTTGTGAACATGTGTGAATCACCAGCAGATTGGCCGTCTTTTATGACAGAGTTGGAATCCTTCCGTATACTTCGTAAGAGCTTCTCAGAGTTCACCTTATCCCCTATTCTGAAAATTCAAAATGTCTGGGCGGATAGTCTTGCAAAAGGAACTCGAGCAAGAGGAGTTAATTTTTTCCGAATCGATCATACCGAGCCGGTCGAAGGTCGTCCACAAACCACTTTTATGATAGGTCAAATGTAATTGTAATAATTGGGTAAAAAAAGAAAAAAAAACATAATTATTTGAATGTTTCATAAACTACAGTATCAAACAGAGAGAAAATGTGTGAACTACGTCTTTTAAATTGGTCGTCTTTATTTTTATTTCTTTATATTCTATTGGCCAATAGATAGGACAAGGAAGAGATAGAAACTCAAGGCCACACATATCATGAGGCCATGACACAAGTGTCTGCGGCGAGACAGTTACTAAAAACATGAAGGAAAAAGAGAAGAAATCACAAACCATCTTCTTCCAACACAGTACACCACATGGCTTCTGCAGCTTCCAACTATGCTCGAACGTCCTTCATTTTCCTTCCCAAAATCCAAAACGGCACGAAGTTCATTGACAAGATGATATCATTTCGAAGGATGACGAGAAGAAGAGTGATGCATATTCACTCGTCGCGAGGCCCAACAAAACCACCAAAACCATCCCCTGGAGTAGACACAAGAATCCATTGGGAAAACCCGGACGAAGGCTGGATCGGTGGAGGATCCGACCCGACCAAATCCGTTGATGAAGAGAGAAACAATCTCTTCAGTGACGACAAGTTTGCAGAACTAATCAAAGACTCTTTTGATTCGCATTACCAGTTAGAGAGCCACTCAGATTCTTCTCATCAAATATCTTTTTGGTTTTTTTTTCAAAATGGATTATGACTTCTAATTATATCATTTTCAGATTCTTAGGTGTTTCAACGGATGCTGATCTTGAAGAGATAAAATCTGCATACAGGAGATTATCAAAAGAGTATCATCCAGACACGACTTCATTACCGCTTAAAACTGCTTCAGACAAGTTTATGAAACTAAGAGAAGTCTACGATGTTTTGAGCGATGAAGAGAGCAGGAGATTCTATGATTGGACGTTGGCTCAAGAGGTAGCGAGTCGTCAAGCTGAGAAGATGAGAATGAAGCTTGAGGACCCGAAAGAGCAAGAGTTTCGGAATTACGAGTCTATACCGGATATGGTTGATCGGTTAGGTGGAAGGAACATGGAGCTTAGTGATCAAGCCATGACGGCTCTTACGTTCGATGTTTTGATCATAGTTTTTGCCATTTGTTGTATAGTTTATGTGATTGCCTTTAAAGATCCTTCCTACTAGGTGTGGATCAGTATACATGGAAGATTAAATTAAATTCGTAGAAATATGTCTAGGTGGAGGATTAACATTTACAGATTATTAGATAATCTAAATTAAACAAGTGATCTAGTGGCAGTTAGATTCGCTGACATGTGTTGAAAAATTAAATTTCTTAACAGGGGACTCGAAATGTAGATTTCAATGTCACAAAATGCACTAGCTAGAACTTTCAATAACATGTATTAAAGTATCCTTACTTGGTTTGAGTATTTTTTTTTTATCCAAACGTTGCTTTAAGTGATTTTATGAGTTAGATGGTGAGATAATGAGTTCTTTTTACTATATTTTAAGTGATTTTAAGAGTTAGATGGTGAGATAAATAGAAATAACTATGCATTGATCAGTAAAGTGACTAAGTCTATATTCGTTTGAACAGATGATATCCAGATGATTCAGTCAACTGATGTTCGTTTAAGGCATAAAACTACTTACATTCGGATGAATCAGTCAATTATTTAAAATCAATTAAGTTAGGGCCCCTTTAAGTTATGATCAAATATTTAAAATCAGCTGGCTGATCTGAATTGAGCCAGCTGGATGAACTAACTTCAGTCAGAACTCTATAATGACTAAAATACCCTTGAAAAAATAAAAAAATTACAAGGGAAAAACCTAAACCTAAATCTCTCCTACTCAAGATGCTGAATCAAAGTGAATCCCTCCTACTCAAGATGCTGATACTGATGCTGAATCAAGGCAAATTCCTCGTACTCAAGGCAATAATAGCAATAGAGTTTCATCTTCCAATATTGGCGGCAGTGGCGGAGGCAGCCTACAATTACGTGGGTCAGCTGACCCAGGTGGAGTTAAAAAAAAAATTATGTTGTAGCACTATGATTTTATCCTACATCGACAACCCATGTGGAATTAAAAAAAAATTATGCTGTAGCACTATAATTTTATCCCACATCGACAAATTGTAACATTTTAGAAGGAGTTGTTAAACTATAAATAAGAATTCATCTTAAAATATTAATTTATAAGTTGTGGACTTTTTCCAAAACTAATATAACCTAGAAAAGAAGCTGCACATTAATGTTTTTTTTTAGAAAAAAGGAAATTATATATTGATCAACAAAATATAAATTTTAAGTAATTCACATGAAACTTATACTTTTATTTTTATTCCTTAAAATGTGGCAGACACCAACTATTTATGCTTGTGATTATAACACACAAATTTTTAAATATTAAATTAGAATTAACGTTTTTTTTTGTGTAGTCTAATGTCAAACATAATAGAACAGTTTATAAAAAGAAAATCTCTACTATCTAATATAAATCCAGCAAAGCAAAAAAATATTCAAAAGTCAAATATAATAATGGAACAGTTTCTGAAAAAGAAAATCTTCACCATCTAATATTGAATTGGATGATTTACCATATGATCCAGCAAACCGAAAAAACATTCAAGATTGAAGGTATGTTTGATTCTTTCTGTTGCGACCCCAACCGTCAAAAAATAATTTTTTGCAATGAAAATTGTGAAAACGAGCTTGCGTTATACAATTTTTTATATTATGACCCATGTCAATAATTTTTCTGCTTCCGCCATTGATTGGCGGTGGTCCCTTATCTTTTAGTAAGAGGAGGACTAATAAAAAAAGAAAGAGAGTTGTGCAAGAAGAACAAGCTGTTGCAGATGTGATTAGGGAGAGTGTTCAGTCACGTGATAAGATTCTTTCCCACAAGAATCAACTAATTGAGAGCCATCCAGAATTTACTTGTAGTCAGCTTCGAGCTATGGAGGTTCTATACTTGCTGTCTGCTGTAAGGATGTGGTCTCCTTTGTATAAGGCAGCAATTCAACATCTGAAACAAGATATTGCCAACCGTCAGACATTCTTGTTTTATGAAGATGATGAGAACAAGGTTCTCTACTTGGAGTTTGCAACTGGTGAAAACAGGAATGCATGAGGATGATTTATGCTTATTATGAACTATGTTTCTTATGAACTCTAGTATCTAGTGTCTTTAAATTGTTCTTTTGAAAACAGGAATGCATGAGAATGATTCATGCTTTTTCATGTCTATGTTTCTTTTGAACTCTAGTATCCTATTTTGTGTATGAGAAACAGGTTTATTTTGAGTGTATGAGAATGAATTACCTTATCTTGTTATAATGTTTTTTCAGTTATCAGTTATGATTCTTATTTGTGAATGAGTGAATGTGAATGAATTATCCTATCTTGTTATTTTTTTCAGTGATCTGTTATGATTATAATTTGTGTTCTTTGTTGCAGAATGGACTAAGCTTGCAACTGTAAAGAAGATCATCAGACAAGATGAACAGTAAGGTAATAGTCTTGCTTGGAATGTTTAGAACAACAGAAACTAAGAGTAAACTTTGTCTACTATATGTTGAGCTAATGATTTTGAAGTTTGATACTTTGTGAGTCATCATAATGAACATGAATATGATATTGTGTTTCATTGCTTACACGTACAGAGATTAATTTCCATCAACCTGAAACTAGTTACGATAAACGGTTTGATATGTTCTGAGTTAACTTGTCTTTTACGTTTCTTTGAAAATGCTTAGTAGTCCGTAGCCACACTCTCTTTTGAACGTCATATTTGTTGCTTTTGCTTTCTTCATTTTGCTTTATATGATTGGTGAAGACAGCTACTTTGAACGGCATGCGTCTCATATTCTCGTATCTGACATTAGTCTACTTTTGCTGCTTGGAATGCTTGAAATGATATCAAGATATATGTCTACCTGATACCAACCAAGCTTTTCTATTTCCTGATGTGGTTTTCTAGTTTGTAACATTATTATCTCTCGTTTTCTATTCTGGTTTTGCAGAAAACATTTAGATTCCTAATTGAGGATGATGATATGGAATTGGTTCTTGAGGAGGAGAAATACATGTATGCTCTTATAGAAGACATGTTGGAGTGGAGGAAAGAAAAGTTGAGAGACAAATGGTGAACACAAAATGAGGAGAAAGTTGGCAACATGTGCAACGATTGATTTTTGAGTCTAAGGTACAATGTTTTGATATTCTACGCATGCACCAGTCAACATTTAGGAGTTTGTGTAAGAGGCTATCTGAGCAGTATAAGTTAGAGGAATCTTGCCATGTTTATATAGAAGAGAGTGTTGCAATGTTCATAGAAATGGTTGCACATGATCTAACTGTACAGGCCTTAGCTGAGCGGTATCAACATTCACTAGACACAGTGTAAAGGAAGCTAAATGATGTTTTAAGTGCTCTTTTGAAACTCGCAGCAGATATAGTGAAGCCCGCAAGGGATGAGTTTGCAAGTGCTGATCTTTTTGTAGTAGATGATTACAAGTATATGCCTTATTTTGAGGATTGCATTGGTGCTATTGATGGCACACATGTGCCAGTTCGTCCTCCATCAGGGAATGTAGAGCCATTTAGAGGTCGAAAATCAGAGCCAACTATGAATGTGCTTGCTATATGTAATTTTAGTATGAAATTCATATATGCTTATGTTGGAGTTCCCGGGAGAGCACATGACACAAAGGTGCTAACACATTGTGCAACCCAAGAAGCTTCTTTTCCACATCCTCCACCTGGAAAGTATTACTTAGTTGATTCAGGTTATCCCACTAGAACCGGTTCTCTAGGTCCACATCGCAAAACTAGATATCATCTGGATCAGTTCAACACAGGAGGACCACCTACAAATGGTAGAGAGCTGTTCAACCGCAAGCATTCGGGTTTGAGATCAAAGATTGAGTGCACATTTGGTGTATGGAAAGCTAATTGGCAGATTTTGGACAGGAAACATCCTAAGTATGAGCTTAAGAAATGAATAAAGATTGTGACAGCAACAATGACTCTTCACAACTTTATCAGAGATTCAAGGGAAGAGGATAGAGACTTTGAATATTAAGAAAATGTGGAGTCATATGAACAGCATGGTGATGAAAATGTTGGACATGTTCCATACTTACCATCAGGTGATAGAGTTATAGAGACAAAACGTGTTGCATTACCTTAGAGATGGCAAAAAGAACTAGACTTCCATATTGATAGGTATGTGATCTTTGTCTTTCTTTTGTTTTCTATTTGAATTCTCCTTTTATTCTAATTAAAAAAAATTTGTTGTCTTTATTTGTAGGATCTGGTGAATAGAAGGAAGAGTTCGTGGTTTAAGGATTATGCTTTTCTAAAAAAACTTTGTTTTGTATCTTTATAAACATAATATGATATGTTTTTTTTTTTAATTTGATATTGTGTTTTGTATGATGAAATTATAATTCTAGAAGAAGATATTGTAGTTTGCTTCACCAATGAGAAAATATTTGTTTTAAATGTCTTTATTGGATATGAATCATTTACTAATTTTTTTTAATCAATTGTTATAAATCTTTTTATAAACAAAACTTTTATTTTTATAAAAGGAAAAATTTTCAAATGTTTAAATAATTATCTGAAAATTATTTAATTTTAAAACATTATTTGTATTAAAAAGTAATATTATAGTATATTGAAAATATGATTAAATGAAAACATAGGTATTTAGTCATTTTTTATTTAGATGATGATGTGAAATGATCAAACAAACAAAACTTCATGGATCAGCCAAATGAATTAGTTGAATAAATCAAAAAATTTTATTACTGAAATGAACAGCATTCGGATGGATCAGTCAGATTCATTTCATTTTCATGTCGCAGTTCTGACCATGTCATCGTTTACTTGCTAGCGTGAATGGAACTCTGGTAGGGACAGTCTCCAAGTACATCAAGGGTCCTCTGTTCCCTACTGTAGCTGTACATAGCCAAAACGAGGAGTATGCTCTTTGTTTTTCTCTTTGTTTATCGAGTTATCTCAGCTTCTTGCGTATGAGCTCCACGGTTGTGCTCTGAATCTTGGCAGGGTTACTGTCAACTTTGGGCAGGAGAAGTTTGCTTTCGATTTCAAGGTAAGATCATCGAAATTCTACATATGAGTTGGGTTTGTAAGGTCTTAGCTTGAGTAATTTGAAGATAGGATAGTCAGGAATACAACAACTAGCGAAATAGTGTACAAACTTATAGTGTGGATTTTTCTGTTACAAATTGCATCCATGATTTTAGGT